AGTTCATTCAACAGCAAACAACTACTTTCCTGGCTATTTGCATTGAAGATCTTAAATCGTTTATTTAATTTCCTGTATTCATATATATATTGTACCATTTGTGTTGATTTTAAGTTTGTGAATTAAGTGTCTAGATGTTCCTTGTTCTTCCAGATCTTATGACTGGTGTTATATTACATTGACTTGTATATCAGCTTTTGCTTAATAAATAAATAAATAAAAAAAATATCGCGATTCGTTACGGAGTTATTGACCTTGAAAATTAGAATAAAATAAGTTATTGAATAACTTTCAAACGGTTGCCGTGGTATCAATGATATTCGGACAGGTGAATGAACTCATACTAATGCACTTTTCCATATGTAAACGGCTTCTCAGTGATTATGTTTTATACAGGGTGGATTTTTTTTCGTTCAATGAGAGCATTTTTGACAGATGTGACTAATTTGACATTTTCAGTCAAATATGTGAATCTGAAAACGGTTGAATTGAAAAAAAATTAACATAAGTTGTTCATTTGAGATATTTCTGATGTTCTGAACTGCAATTAAATTACCACCATTGGTCCTTCATCATCACAAGCATTTCTCTGAAGATTCGATCCCCTTCATTAACGTAACGTTCATCTGCAACGGATTTCTCACAAGTAAAAAAAAGTGGCGAAATTGCATTGAGCTAGTTGGGTTAATTAGATGAAACGAACGCAGTCGACTTGCATTTCCCGAAGAATTTTCTTCGAGATGTTCCAATTCAATTAAATGGAATGTATAACGTTGTAGGGAATTTCACTTGCAAATCAAGTATGAAGTGTATGTCGGACGAAGAAAGTTTCAAAAGTGCAGCGATGAGGGTAAATTAGGTTCCTTGTAGCGTCTGCAAATTTAGTAAAGCACGTATGAATCAAGATAGATGTGTAATCAAATTTGCATATTTTTCCGGATATGTGAAAGCCGCAGAGTAACTTTCCAAAGAGACAGATTTATTTTGTTTATTTCCTCTGCGGAAAATATATCACATTCTAAGGACATCTGTGGAAGCGCTGCCAAATTAACAATCCCAATCAGCAAAATGTTATCCATGGGACATCCTATGGTTATCGGTTCTGGGTATTCCTAATAACCATGGGATATCCTGAAATCTGCCAGGGATATCCTATGGATATCCAGATGACACAATTTCCTAGAACCCCAGGACATCCCAGGACAAACTGGTTCAATAACCATAGGTTATCAATGTTATCATCAGGATATATTCAGGATATCCTGAGCTGAACCAATGTCTATACTATGAATATGAGTAAATGGCACAATTTATTTATAATCATTAAGTGTTGAATATCAATTAATCATTTTCATTCATCCTTTATCGGACTGATTCAATGCCAAATGACCACCGCTCCTTGAAATTTTTAATTTTATTATATTATGTGATTCCCACGTGGCCTTATTGGTACTGTGTATGGTGTCTGGAGATGGCTGTTTGAGCCGAAACTAGTCACATTAAGTCATTTTTTGTAATAAAAGTTTGTGGTCGACCGACTTAGTGTTATTTTGTTTTTTCATTGAAAATGTTTATAGTTGAATCACCATCGACATTATTTTGGATCTACATAATTTCTTTTTGAGAAAACCATATATTTTGTTGATGGAATTGATATTATACTATTGATTCAATTAGACTACATTCTTCTGATTTGAATAAGCTGCTTCGATGAAATAATCATGTATCTGGTTGATTCAACGAAAATTGCTCAGTCCAACAAAAATACTTCGAGCTTAAATAATTTGTTGACGAACAAATCCTTTTTTTTTTTCGTGTGGAACCATGTTTCTTGAATAGGACTAGGTTGTATATTCTAACTTCATTTTTGCTGTCCAAATTCGAATTAACATTGAAATTTCGTATAACCAGACCTCAAAACACCTAGAATATGAAGTTTCAAGTGAAATCCAGCGGCTCCATAATTTTTAAAATGTTTGGGAAACTTGAAATATCATCTTCATGATTCGTATAACGTAATTCACCTCACCTGGACATATCATTCTATATTTTGTAACTCACGAAAATTAGGATAACTACCTACTTGCATATTGCCTCCGAACCAATCTCGAAGATTATAATCAAATCCTTTGATCTTTGTAAACAGCATAATCAGTAGAACATTTCCTCTTGATTTGTTCTTATACTACAAGTCATGCCAATCAAACTTCACATCAGTCAATTTACAGAACAAATTCCAATCGAATGAGATAAAAATCAGAGTTCGTTCAATTCTAAAGGAGAATAATTCCAAGAAGCGACGGAAAACCAATAATGTGAAATCAGAACCTTGCCTCTTCTCTTTGAAAAGAAATTCGATCCAACTAAAGATTTCACCCAAGTCTGAATGACTAATCATATTATTGAACTTTCGTGCGCTCCAAGAGATGAAAAACAATTCCGAACTTGATTTTTCTCAATTATTATTATATTGCTCCTTCTAGCAATAAATGAATTTATTCATGCTTTGGTTTCGAGTTTGAGATGCATTTTACTTGATTTTTTTTTTGGATTTTCTCTCTTCTTTTCTATAAAATGAAAAAATGCGTATTATTTCAATATATTTGTAGTGTGACAAATCAGATGATTTACCCCAAAATGTCACAGCGTTGAACAAATTTTTCTATCAGGGAGCCTAAAAGAAGAATCCAGTAGCTTGTCAGTGAAACTTTGTTTGAAAAAATTCTTGAAGGAAAAAAATATAGATATATTGAAAAAATATCGAATTTTCACTCATCTTTGGACGTTTCTGGAACGAATCTGCTCCCGTTCTCAACATGAAAATGCAAAATATGTTTCATTGGAAGTTGTGCTCTGCTTATAGTTTGACACTTCATAGTGTCATACTGATGTTGGCATATGAATGAGTGATTTTAGTCAAATGAGTTACAGGATGTTTTCATAATTTGATCTTGAATCTACCATTTTCATGTTCAGTTTTCAGTAGTAAATACCATGTTCTATCTAATACAACTGAACAGGGAGCAATGCTATTGTCTCCGTTCAGTATTCACTATTTAATATTGAAATGCTAATCATCTGACCCCTCATATGAGTGTTGTTTCACAGTTTTATGATTTTTTTGGGATGATGGACATGATTACAGTGAAAAGGGTACTATGCTGGCGCCTATGCAATTCAGAATTCTTTTGAAGGTTATACAGTTTCGTATAACAGCTGAAGATCGTGACACAATGTAGAGGAATAGAGAATAAAGAATTGCAAATAAGAAATGCAAGTCTACTATTGGTCAATTCAAACCTAGAACGCATTTCCTTATTCCTATTCCGTATTTTTTGCATTTTGTTTGGCCAAACATACCCTGAAACTGTTGGATTCTGTCCAAAAAAGGGCAATAATTCGTCTCACTTCTCTGTCTAGAACACCCTAGAAAAGTTGGCGATCTGGCTCTATTTTATAGATATTTTTATGGAAGATGCTCTTCTGAAATATCAACAATTGTTCCTCCCTTGACAGTCCCCGCGAGATTAACCCGTCGAGTTGAGGCTTCGCACCCTTTCGTGGTCACTTTGGAGACCTGCAGAACATCCCTTCCCAAAGACTCGTTCATCCAACGAACAGCGAGGCTCTGGAACACATTGCCAAGGGAGGCATATAACCTCCAGAAATTTAAGAAGATCACCAATTGCGCGTTGGACATATCGAAAGCATTCGACCGTGTTTGGCACGAAGGACTCCTCCACAAACTACCATCATACGGCTTACCACCTCAGCTATGCCATCTCTTATCGAGTTTTCTTTCAGGCAGATCGCTTCACGTGGTGGTGGACGGTGTATCGTTCTGATACCATTGGCATCAATTCCGGCGTTCCACAAGGATCAATTTTGGCACCAACATTATTCCTTATTCATATCAATGATCTGTTGGGAATAACAACTTGCCCCATCCACAGCTTTGCAGATGATAGTACCCTCCATTCTGCGTTCTCTTTCAGAATTCCCTTTTCTTCCCAGGGAAACTAAGAACTCACGGCGCAGGCAGGTCAATGCTGTCAATGAAGACCTTGCTGAAATCACAGCCTTGGGAAACAACAACCTAGTTGAATTCAACGCCACCAAAACTCAAGCCTGCATAATCTCTAGAAAGGTGGAACTCAGTATGCCAGATATTGTAATGTCTGGCTCCACCATCCCCACCAAGCCCACCATATCTATGCTCGGTATTTCCATCAGCAACACTCTTTCATGGGATAATCATGTCAGATCGATCGCAAAAGCTGCTTCACAAAAACTCGAATTCTTGTTCCGTGCGAAAAGCTACTTTACACCTCAACAGCTTCCCATGATCTACAAAGCGCTGATACGGCCTGTTCTATAATACTGTTTCCACATATGGGGTTCTACACCAAAACATACGCTGATGCTCTTAGATTCCATCCAGAGAAGAGCCATTCGCCTGGTGGGTGACGCCACACTCACTCACTCTTTGACATCATTGGAACACCGTAGAAAGGTCGGCGACCTTTCACTTTTCTATCGATACTTCCACGGGAAATGTTCTTCGGAAATCTCTGCTATCATCCCTTCACTAGCAATACCAATCAGACGAACTAGACAAGCTCAGTCAGCAAATCTTTCCGTTGTCAACCTCGAAAGATGTCGAACAGCACTTTATCAAGACTCCTTCATCCATAGAACGGCTAGGCTCTGGAATTCATTGCCTGAGGGAGTATTCCCAACAACATATAATCTCCAGAAGTTCAAAAAAAAATCCAATACCTACCTCCTGTCCCCATCCTTCCTAGGAACGAACGATGCCCTTTGAACATTATAGGGATTTCCATTCGTGCGCTCCAAGCGATAAAAAAAATCCTACCATATTTCACTTGATTCTCACGATGTTCTCTGAACATTACAGGATACCCCAGAACATAAAAAAAAAGATATTGCTCTCGGTGTTGGCTGAAGAGAAACCTAATAGCACGCCCTGTACATTCCAGAATCTCTGCCGACAAGCACATCCGAGCACGCAGCCAGCGCCACCACGCAACACAACGATCCCCAGCACCAGCCGCCCACGCTGCAGCAGCAACAGCAGCAGCAGCCGCAGCCGCTGTGGCCGCCGCTGCCGCTGCTCGAGCAAACGGAGCTGGACGCCATGCACGCAGCCACGATACCGCCCTACCAGTTCTGGAACAGCGAATTCAGGAACAAGCAGCCGGCCTTCATAAGGTTCAACTTTACGTTGCCTTGGGGAGCTAATTTTGCGGTGTACGGGCGTCGGAATGTGGCGCCCAGCGTCACCCAATACGATTTCGTGGAGTTCGTTAAGGGTGGTAGGGTCGACCATAGGCTGCGAAGGAAGCGGGACATCAATGAAGGTAGGAACTCTCAATCATTCAGAATTCTTGATGATTTAGTAAAAACACTCTACTACTTCATCCATTTTTTTTAAATCTCATGAGATTCCATGCATGGACTTTAACTACGGATCTCAAAGTTCTTCAGTCACTTTTTGACAATAAAGTACATATATGATTCTTTGAATTATATAATAGATCAACTGGACAAAAGAAACAAAGTGACTAGCATTTATTTTGACCTAACTAGGGTCCCTTGATGGATATTGACATTAAAGTCATCTTAACAGGGTACGGACAGATCATAGCTGCATTCTTTTTCAATGGTCTAGAGACTTTAGTTTTGTCTACTGGCATCCCTAACATTGCTGTCACGTCACATCCATGGGCGCTACAGAAAATCATTCAAAATTTTGATAATTGGTATGTACAGGGTATGTACTTGTTGAGGAAGATCATATGGCGGACGAGTTTTGTAATTATGATCCCATTCTATTCAAAATTGGAAGGTATCTGGGGTTTTCCGGGGTTGGAGATAATGATTGTTTCGTCAATCTTGGAAAATTCAAGATGACGGATCCAATATATAGCGAAAGAAATTTCTAATTATGATCTGATTCTATTCAAGATTGGTATCTGAGGGTTTTCGGGGTCGAACTTTATGATTTTTTGTCAAAATTGTGAAATTCAGGATAGCGGATCCAATATGGCGAACGAATTTTGTAATTATGATCCGATTCTATTCAAAAATCAATATTGGTATCTATGGATTTACAGGATCGGAGATTATAATTATTTCGTCAAAATTGAGATACTCAAGATGGCGAATCCAGTATGGTGGACGATTTTTGTAACGAAGATCCGATTCTATTCAAAATATCTGGTAGTTTTTGGGGTAGGAGATAATGATTGTTTCGTGAAAATTGGAAAATTCACGATTACGGATCCAATATGCCGAAAGACATTAGTTTATATATTACTCTATCACAAATAGAAAATATGTAGGATGCAAGAGTGAAAATAACGTGCCTATGAGTTGTTACTTTCATCAATAAATTATTCGAAAATTACTTGTTATTCAAGGGAGACGGAAAAATCAGGTAAAGTTTATTCTTTTTTCAGCCTTCTTCTCGTCCTAGACGAAGTTTTATACATGTGATATTAGTTACTTCATAAATTCTTCTCCGAGTTGGATTTACGAAAATATATTTAGCACACTTGACATGAGCACAGTAGTTTAGATACCCACATCGAGGTTTCCACCATTTCTCAATCATAAGGCTCTGCTTATTCAGCGCATAGATAAACTACTGCTCAGCTTGAAATCAGAATTCATTCAGTCAATTCAGTCAACCCTGGTATACAGTCTAAGAACAGTCTCTTTTGTTGAAATTGAGATGTCTCTAGTCATCTTAGGTGAAATATATTAAGCTTTCAGTACAATTAATATGTTCCCTCCCTCGCATAGATTATGCTGGAGTAGTGAACTCTAAAACTAGATAATTGTTTATCTATATCTTGGTATAGTTGAGTCAGGAATTCCATATAGAAATTAGGTATGATACGCCAGTGACCTTAATATAACCTAAAAAACAACGAATGTCAGAAATCTAGTGTTTATCCCCAGAAATGAATAAGGATGGAACTATATTACTGTTTCACAAACACTTCAGAGTGAGAGGAGACGAGGATCTGTCCGTACCCTGTTAAGATGACTTTAACGTCAATTTCCATCAAGGGACCCTAGACCTAACCAAAGCTTTCGAACTCATTAATCATGAAATACTATTGCAAAAATTACAGCACTATGGTGTCAGAGGCAAAGCTAATGATTTGATGAAATCCTACCTCAGCAATCGGACACAAATAGTCGGTATCTCATCAGAAAATAACTCCAAGTCTTCGACATACTATTCTGACAGTGTACAAGTTGGTATAGGGGTGCCTCAGGGCTCCATACTCGGACCAATTCTATTCTTAATATTTATTAACGACATATGTTCCCAAATAGACATTAGTTCCGTTTTCTTATTCGCAGACGATATTTCAGTCGTTGTGTCTGAAAGAGACATCGGTGCTTTGAATGAGACATCTAATACAACTGTCTCTCGAGTTGTAGAATGGTGTGAAAATAATTCTTTAGTGATCAATAAGAACAAAACGAATTACTTATTTTTCAAAAATCATAGGAAAGATACACTTCACATTGATATATACAATTCTCGAATTAATGCAACAAATTCTGTCAGATTTTTAGGGGTAATGATAGATGAAGATCTACGATGGACGGATCAGGTGAGAGCAATAATGAGTAAATTAGCATCTGCTTGATACTACCATGCAGAGATTGGTCCTTCGTAGTTTTCATTAAGGATCTCGACAACCAAACAAAAAACACTCAAACTATCATAAACGTTGGTTGGTTGAAGCTTGGTTCAATTTAACATTTCCTCGAGAAGTACAGCTATGGGAATGTTACTTAATTCCATAACTCAGAGATCTAGAGATGATATGTCTGATTTTCAGCATCATCCGAAAATTAGTTACTGTTTCGATGCACCTGGTTCCAGAGTTGTCATCTGGCCTGCTAACAAGTTTTGATCCTAGTCTCGTCTTCCATCGGATTTTATCATTACCAAAGGAACAGAACAAAGTCTACTTCATAAATTCATTATCAATAAAGTACATTTAGTGTACAAGTTGAAATTGCAGAAATATTTTCTGAAGAGTTGGTTGACAGGTCAAAGGTTTGAAAGCATGTAAGTTTACATTCGAATAATCCTGTACTCATTCCGTTCAAACATCTGAAACCTTTTTAGTATATTATGTGAAATTGTTTCCCATCAACCCCTTCTGGCAAATTAAATCTGCTGCGAGAATGTAATAATGGTAAATACAGAATAATGCGGCGTTTCATTGTTTTAAACGAAATTGAAACTATTTTCATCAGCGTCTTTCACCACAGGGCTTGTGACAATGCTTTCCCTGCTCACTGGGTTTTTCCTTATGGCTTTGTGTGGGAACTTTGTCAAAGAGTGAACGGTCAAGGCGAGGGGTTAGAGAGAAAGGGGAGTTCCAGCCATTGAGGCCTGTTTGCAGAGCGAAACTTTCGTTTGTAACTCCAGGCGGTTTGTTACATTTCAGGTTCGAATTGAATTCGCCTGTTTTCGTTGTTGAACTTTGGGCATTGGGGTCAATTTATTCAGTGTTATTACAAGAAACGGTTGAGTTGCAAATTAGCGATGTGTATGCTCCCTGTTTTGAAACTCTTCAAGATGGAGAGATAATAAGCAATGTAGTTTTGAGGTTGGGGCAATTGGTCGAAAGAAGTGGTGGCTTGTTAATTTTACCCTCTCTCATTTGCATTTAACACTCAAGAATTGGTCCAAAAGTGATGAGATGAAGATGATATCATATCCTGAATTATTGCTATTATAATGACAGCCTTTATTGATAGGTCAGTAACTAATTATTGTAAGGTAATGAGAAGTCTGTACTTATATCATTTTTCGAAACTGTTGGCTACAGGCACTCAGTATACACGGTGGGTCACGAACGATGGTACCTTAAACGTTTACCAAGAACAGGACATTATGAAAGTTCGGTTACTCAAACAGTTGTCCTTGGTCTATCGACCTAAAATATTTTCAGCAATGCAGCGTTGCCGCTTACACCAGCAAGTAGAATAGCACATTTGATATTTCAAATGGAATACCCTGTATTTCATTGCATTTCCAGATTATCCCTGAAGAGCTGATTCCATCATGCTTGGAGGTCTGGTGGGAATCATTAGAGAGATATAGGGTGTTCAAAATCGAAATGTTTTAACTTCAGGATTTTTTTGTGTCGAAACTATTCATTATCGGTCAAAACGGCTTCCATGTCTCTATCTCGACACTTCATTCACTATCTACTGTCATTCAATTGGGATAAATACAGGGTGGTTCAAGATTCAGAATTCTAATCGTCTGATACATAGCATGACGTGCCGTAAAGCCCTACTTTAGAACTAACACCACAAGATGGCGATAGTATGACTAATAAATCATCGTGCAGTATCTGGCGTATTCAACATGGGTGTTATACCTGGAAGGTTGAGTTGTCCCAGTTGTCAGCAGACCGAGAGCGGCTGATGAGGCCTGGTGGTCCGAAACAGTACTGTCTCGCTCCTGCTGACAATTGGGGCAACATCTGTTTATCCTACACCTCTTAGTTATATGAGGACTGTTAGGTTTCCACTCAAGTATTCATTTAGGTGGTTCCATAGTCAGCAGAGTGTTTAACTTGTACTAGCACTATTTAATGTGTGGACGTATGGGTCTCCAGATATTGACTATAGATGGCAGCGGTATGCTGTGTATGACTAGAGTGAGTGGCGACAATATACCTCAACATGGCTGCCGTTTCCGGCTCAACTACGAGTCTGAAAAGACGATTTCTGATTGTTGGATGTTTTCAAAATTATTATTAAAAGGTTTCATTCAACTTGCAATGCATGCATGTGTGTATACGAGTATGTTCGTTTGGGTGGAATCTTTATTGTACTCAATTTTGAAGTAGGTATCTTCAACCGATTGAGCTGAAATTTTGTGTACACGTTTAGTTTGAATGACAATGCACGATAAAGTGTGTGGGGTTATTCTGAATATTCGATATGGCGGAACATCCAAGATGGCGGAATAGTTATGTTCAATGCACTTCCACAATATGGGTAACAAACGAAAGGGATCGTTGAGAGCAACTCGGAAAATAATGTGACGTCTTTCTAAATCCAATATAGCGGACCATCTAAGATGTCGGCATAGTCCTTTTTAATCTACTTCTCCAATATCGGTATCAAATATAAGGGCTCGTTGAGAGCAACCCGAAAAATAATGCGACGTCATTCTGAATCTAATATTTCGGACCATCCAAGGTGGCGGAATAGTTATTATTTATGCGCTCCTGCAATATGGGTATGAAATGAATGGCCTTGCAGAGAATAATTAGAAATAATGTGATAATGAAAAAGCAGATTCAAAAAATTCGATTTTCAAGTCTGTAATCGATTGATCAACCTTGACTTGTGTGATTTGTAGAGATGGGCGTCATACTGAGAATCCTATCTAGCGATAACTTGAAAGTAAATTATGAAAAAAAAGTTGAAGAAAAACTTTATGAGAAAAGTTCTCATTCAAACGCTCAAAAGAGGAGAAAATAGAAGTTTCCTTTTGAATTTAAACTGTCAACTTATAACCTCATTATACACCTTTTATATGACCAAAAAAGTTTGTAGCGATGATCAATATTGAATTGAACCTAGCGTTTTACTTGTATAAATAAACTAGTACTAATTCAACTATCTAATATCTGCAAAGTTTGATTTTATCAAATTTCAATTTAATTGAATATTGATCATCGCGACAAGCTTTCATGATCATATAAATTGTGTTCAATGAGGTTATAAGTTAATAGTTGAAATTTAAAAAGTAAATTTCAGTTTTTTTCTTTCAAGAGCTTTCATATAGAAGCATGTTTTTCCAATAGATTTATTTTTACTTTTGAAGTTATGTGTCCAAAGAATGCCTAGAGGCGAGAAACAATGCCAAAGCGTTAACAAAGTGTACTAGAATGCGTAGAACTAAATTGAGAGAAGAAGATTTTCATCAAAGATTCATTGAGTGATGATTCAGTCATATTAGATAAGTTTAATTATTGAAGCAAGAAGAATTTGTTCAATGCGGTTTCAAATAATATGTTCGAGAATTCGAGAGATTAGTTCCCTATACTAGTAGTAAACCAACTTTTATAACCCCTTTTTTAATCAGAATTAGAAGACCTCCGTGGTATGTCCGCTTCTGGCCATGATTTTCACTTATTGCGTATACTCGGGCTTAATTAATCGTAAATTACAAGACAATGTCGCTTTAAAGGGTCCGCAAGGGAATCATAATCGTGCTCAGACCAAGGATATATCCGGAAGAAGGTAAGGGGAGAACTAAAAGGAGACAATGTGGGCCATGAGGAAGACTGAAAAGAGGCAATGTGAGAAAGAATCGCAGCAGTTGTCTTCTTTTGGAGAAGGCCTAATATTTTTCTGAAACGAATATAGTTGGAGCCCCTACACTAATCTCAAAGTGTTTCTTTTTGGGTGCTGATCATTACAGATTTTTATTGAAATTGACATTCAATATCTTCATGATATACAGGGAAGGGCACAAAAAACGGCCAGTGCTGTATCTTCTGAATCATTCGAGATCATATATTTCGAAAATTGGTGCTCATTAATTGACAAAGCAATTTATGTTCAATCACCTCCGGTTTCACCGAAATCGGCCCCAACTTTTGATTTTTTTGTGCACTTCTCTGTGCATACAATATCAGTATCAGTGTTAGAAATATCTTAATTTTGTATGAAACACTTTTGATTCAAACGACTCATTATTTATTTTTGATGAGTCAGCCTGCCCGATATTGTTTTTTTCTAAATAAGTACCAAATATGGGAACAGTATTCCAGGACAGGTCGGATCTGTGCCTTATAGATCATAAGCAGCTGACTGGAAGTGAAATATTTCCTGGCCCGAAACAGAAAACCAAATTTTTGGGATGCACTTTCAGCAATTGATCTCAAGTGATTTTCCCAAGAAAGGATATTGCTGATAGTAATAACAAGCATCGAAATGAATGTCTTTAAAGGTATGGTTACTCCTGACAAGCTTGTGTTTTGTTTGCATTGAAATCTACCAAGTTATTGGATCCCCATTCGATGATTGTTGTCAAGTTCATATTATTATGTTGTCAACATTTCTCCCTCGTTCGTTTCTGATTTGCCTGGCTGGTAATGGAGCCCTGGAAGAGAAGGCGGCGCAAATCTGTGTACTAGACATGAAGTTGCTTCCAACAAATCGTTGATATGGAGTAGAAATAGTGTTGTTGCTAGAATTGATACTTGCGGAACACCAGCATTCATGATAAGAGAGTCAAATGAAATTCTAGCTAGCAGAGAACATTGCTGGGGAGGCAAACCATAAGATGGAAGCTTGACGAGGAGTCCGTGGTGCCAGACTCGATCGAATGCCTTGGATATATCAAGTGCCACGGCTAAGGGTTCACCATATTTCCCAATAGATTGCTGCCATATATGTGAGACGTAAGCGAGCAGGTCACTAGTTGATCTCTGATGACGGAAGCCATATTGCCTATCGTTGATAATACCTGAATGTTCCAGGTATTTCATGAGCTCGATGTACTCAATATTGTATATTGATATCGTAATATAAATAGTTCACTGTATCGACACATCGAGCATATTATCAATTAGGTTAATACGCAACTTCGCCCTAGTTTAAT